CATACATACATACATCCATACATACATACATACATACATACATACATACATACATACATTGTGGCTGGAGCCTCTAGCTCTCCAGCGTTCCTCCGCCTGCACCAGCTGAGTGAAGCGAGCGCACACGGGAGGACTCGCTGTTGCAGTTCTTAGAAATTTAAAGCATCAATCAAAAATTGCATTATGAATATGGAAAAAAAAACATATAAGTTGCAGGACTACTGACAACTCTATGCAAAAGCTGGTGACTTATATGCCGGAAAGTATGGTAATTCTAATCATATTGATGAGCTGATGACTAAGAGTAAAGTGCATTGCTGCCATCTTTAAACAGCTTCATTAAAAACAAATGGGAGCTATTCATGCAGCTTATTGTTGCACAAACATTTACATCACTGTCAATTTTGCATTCCATGGTAATTCATATAAAATCGGTGGGTATATTGAAGCACACTTAGCAGCAGCAGCAGCTAGCTGTAGCACTGGGACACTCACAGCAAGAATCTTATACGTCTGTGAAAATAATAATAAAATACAACACTGGCCATGATGTAAAGGTCTATAAAACAGCTGTTTTTCCCTGTAAGAATTACCTGTACAGTGGTGCTTGAAAGTTTGTGAACTCTTTGTAATTTTCTATATTTCTGCATAAATATGACCTAAAACATCATCAGATTTTCACACAAGTCATAAAAAGTAGATAAAGAGAACCCAGATAAACAAACAAGACAAAAATATGATACTTGGTCATTTAATTATTCATGAAAATGATTCAATATTACATAATGGCGTCACAAACTTTCAAGCACCACAGTATAATCTTTTTGACCCGAGTTGTTTTAGCATATTATTTGTTCATTGCCTTTCCACAGAATCCCACTTTAAAATAACTTTCTCATAGAACCGAACGTGTTCATCTCAGGTTTCATTTAGAACCTGCTATAAACCAGATGAGTGTTTATGTCTTGACATGTAAACCATGTGAGATGTGGCTGATTTATTTTAATTTTACCTTGATTGTTAGTCCACATGTCTCCTATTTGTCAGCAGTATGTTCCTCCTTTAAGTTGAGACATGAAGTCGTTCACGTTTAAACCAACAGATTAGAGGTCGGCGTGATGTAGGCTGCGGCACCAGCACTTCACAAACCTGTCATCATCTTTCTAATGACCTGTCTGGCTTTCTAAAGCTTCTCTTGTCTGGTCAGACTGTCCTGTGAACAAAACAGAACTCTAAGTGTACATTTAAGATGCATCTCCATCAATCTTTGTATGTGGATTGTTTAGTTTTTCCTTACTAGATTCAGTAGGAATTTTATTAGCTCCAGGAAATATAGCCTAAATAAAAATCAAAGACGTGCTTTTATCTAATTTTGCCAAAGAAAGCATCAGTTTAGGCAACGGATGCAGATCAAGCTCAGTGGCGTTCGCTCTAAAAGCAAAAGGCAAAGCTTCTCTGGCCTCGGTCACACAGCACTTAAAGCATGTTTTTTTTCTTGTTGTGACCTCAGCATAATAAAAACCAGGTTGTTGAGAAGTGATTCACTTTAGTCTTCTGTCTCTAAAGGAGCGTTGCATTTCAAAACAACTCACGGAGCCTATAGACATGCTGTGTTTTATTGGTTTTTCCACGAAGACAGAAAGCCAGTGGTTGTTGGCGTCAGAGCTGGAGAGGCAGAGACAGACGCACATGTTCATTCCTCAAACAGCTACAAAGAGCCAATTCTTAGGCTCCACCTGCCTGCATAAATCTCCAGTTCTGCAGCTGACTGGGAGCGTCTGAGGCCAAACCACTCTGTATCACTCCCACAGCTTCTCCGTGGGCCCTCCCACGCTGTCACGTGCACGCTTCCTCTCCCTTTCAGACGACTTGGGGAGGGTTTATCAGCATGCAAAACAGTTAGCGCCCAAAAAAGGCACTGAAATCCAAGCCCCGGACACAAGTAGGTGGTTCTAGTTTTGACTCATCTCACAGATCTCGTGTCTTGGGTCTCCAGTTTCACAATACAGGAAATGCTCACTGGTTGTTCCACAAAGCCCAACCCTCTGTTTTTAGGCCCGTCCAGGAGCTGCAGCATCTGAGCTCCCTCACATCAGCACTTATTACTGTCAGCCATGAAGACATTGTCCAGAGACACACATTAGGCCTGTCCAGGCTGATTCTTATGTGGAGCCTGCCACTCACCACACACACACACACACACACACGACCAAGAGTCAAAGGAGATGAGACCAGTCAAATCCAAGTGTCCCGTCACTCAGTGAATTTAATTTGATATGTGCCCACAGTTGTGTTAGTTAATAGAATTAGCCCCATGTCCAACAGATGTGTCTTTTTTCCTTGTTTCAGCAGCCAGCTCCTAATCCACCATCTGTTTCTGATGATCCTGTTCCCTGCTGCCGACAGCTAGACATGACAGTTTGACTAAAACACAGGCCCTGAAAGGAAAACGCCTTTGTTCCCTGTTGTGGGTTCAAGTGACCTCATTATCATCTTAAACCAGGCGTCTCTCTGCTGTCCAGTCTGTTGGTCCGTTTCATCACTAAACGGTGGTGGGATGTAACGAAGTACTTCATTACTGTACTTAAGTACATTTTTCATGTATCTGTACTTTACTTAAGTAGAGTTAAATGTGGGTACTTCTGACTTTTACTCCACTACATTTCACATGAAGTATCTGTACTTTCTACTGCGCTACATTTGTATAATGTGCTGTGTTACAAGTTACATTCACGTTGTGGGTTTTAAATTTGTTCGTTAGTTTGAAAGTAACCAACGGCGAGAGGGATGTTGGTTCATTGAATCACTGCAAAGTGGACAGGTGACGTTAGACCCGCTTTCAAGAAGAGCTGGACCAATGACGTATATTCTAGTATATACTAGTGTTGTAATCAAGACCACCTAACCCGAGACCAAGACAAGACCAAGACCTCAAGTCTTGGAGCTCAATCTTTTCACAGATTATCTGTCTTATACTGTCACGACATAGTGACAGTTTCAACAAATATGTAAAAAAACACAACTTTTCACCAAAAAAAATGTTTTTTTAATAAAAGTTACATACTGCAACTTTAAGTTTGCTTCTGAATGAATGTATCAGCTTTTATAAGTTTTCAAAGCTACATAACAAAGAAATCAGACATTCAGTGGTTTTTGCACAATAATTTTCATGTCATGTGACCCAGCGACACAAAACTCATGTTAAACTATTCTACTAGACCCGACAGACGAGGCACCCTCAGAAATGTTTTTAAACTGAGAAATAAATGGTGTCTTGTGTGTCAGGTCTATTAGAGGAGTTTAACAGTAGTTTTGTGTCAGTGGGTCAAATGATGTAAAATATATAAATTTTTGTTTCTGAAGAGTGTTTGGTTCGATAATTTGTTGACAGTCTCTAAGTGAACCATTACTTCTCGGAGGAGGGGCAGACTGAGCGCAGCTGACTGAAATCAGACTGCCTGCTTCGGATCAAATGAGAGGAACACACCACTGAAGCCACAGAGCTCGAACGTCCAACGTAAAAACGACAAACTGGAGTTGAAATGATCAGATATTCCTGTGTTCGGTCTAATGCTTCTTTTTTCAGGCAGACAACTTTTACTTAAATGTGTTTACTGCAGTTAAAATGACACACTGGTTTCACTTTGTGTTAAATAAAAACTTTCAAAGGTATAATCATTCCTCGTTCTTATTTTTATTAATGGCCTTTAACTCTGCAGGTCATCCCTGAAATTCAGATGCACAGAATCACAAGTCCAAGTGTGAACTGTGTCACAGAGTAAACACAATAAAAACATGTATTATCTGCAGCATTGTTCATTAAAATAACTCAACACTATTAATGTATACAGAAAATATACATACAACAGGCACTCAATGATACTGTAGACCATTGCATTAGGTAATACATTCAGCAAGTACTTTTACCTTAAGTAAACATTAATGTGGTACTTCTACTTTTACTAGAGTGCATTTTTGTCTGTTTCTTTGTACTTTTACTTTAAGTACAGTGTTTGAGTACTTTCTCCACCACTGTTAAATGGAGATTAAAGGACCAGGATTCCTTGAAGGAATGCGTATCACCCGCCCAAAGTTATGGACGGCAGCACTGTCTTGTGCTATGTTATGAAATTTATGTTTTCTAATGTCAGTTAGCTGTGGTGGCCATATTGAATGGGGTAGACTCCAAAAGTTAATCCATTTATAAATGTTCACCCACTGAGTTTCACTCCAACCCGTCCTCTCGTTCATGAGATATTTTGGTACAAACAAACACTCACACAGACAAACAGGTACAAAAATCATCGCTCTGGTTTCTGGCAATTAAAAAAAAAGATTTTTTTCAGTGATCCCATGAAAACTCTGAACACAGCAGAGGTGAAGGCGCACACCAACACTCACATGTGGCAGACGCGGTCCAGAAAGGTGCTGACCAGATTCTCATGCTTACTGCAGATGTCCTTCTGGAAGGAACTCTTCAACCAGTCCTCGATGTTGCACACCTGCAGCACCCTGCTGGAGTACCAGCAGATAGTCAAATACCGCAGCGAGGGTCCCAGCACAAAGTTGTCCCTTCGGAGCTGACACGGGGAGCTGAAGTGAAGCAGATTCCAGAGACAAGGGTCCAGGAAGACCTCACGCAGCTGAAGACAGGTAAGAGACAAGCTCCTGCGGCTGTCTTTGTCCAGGAAGGAGAAGAGGTGGAGGAGACACTCGCGGTTGAGCTGAGTGAGATGCATGCTGAGCGGTCCCCGAGGCGCTCACAGGGGGCCTCGTCCCCGGGGCAGCGGCAGGCCTGCTGGCAGGCTGCAACAATGAACCCCCAGCTTGTATTGTGTGGCCTAGATACATGATGCCCCCACAGGCGCACACGCATTCACGCGCTGACGGCCTGCACATATAAGGCGGTGGAGTCGAGGCTATTTTGGGAAGACAACTGCGATACGTTCAAAGATGGAAGTGTCTGAGCCACCCCTGACCATCTGTCACGGCTCTCAACAGGCGGTGAGCGCTGGACTGAGCCAGATGTTTACACCGTCCCGGCCTACTTCACAGAAACAGTCATGCCTCCAAAAGAATTTATATTTCCAAGCAAAATGTTCCTTTAAAAATGTTTTGCATCACTTGGCTGTTTGACTCTTCACAGTAATGTGTGTGTGGTTTGGCACTGCAAGACCTACAGAAACAAAGTGCCTGTTATTTGAGCTTAAAAAATGAGAATTTTCTGTGAGAGAAGACGGTTTTTAGAAATAAAATTAAAACAAAAGGTACCACTTTGCACATTTTAAGTATATGGGAAAAGAATAAAAAGATGCTCCCAAATTTTAATACCCACCATAGTGCAAAATATTAATAAGCTCAAATGAGCTGCGGTGAAGCAGACTGCAGGGATGTGTTTGACCTAAATGTGCACCTTTGTCAACAAGTAAAACTTATCCAGTGGAGGTGTTTACAACGGATCTAACTAAATGTTTCAGATCAGCAGACATGTTACTGTCAAAGATAACTGGAGAAAATACTAAATTCACTCCTCAAATGTGTTCATTCATTGGAGGAAAGAAAATCCAAACAACCTGGCCCTATGTGAGAACGTAACTGCCCCCTGTGGTGAACTCATAAATTAATTGTGAATACGTGGAGAGCTGAGTTCAGTGTCACTACCACACCCAGACCTGATTACTGCCAGGCCTGTGGAATCATGAAATAACATAAATAGATCCATTATAGAGAAAACACCTTCCCACGAGAGGCCAGCACACCAAAATTAGTCCAAGAGCACATTGACGACTAATCCAGGTCCCCTAAAAAAACAAAAAACATCTAAAGCCCGGCAGGCTTCACTTACATCAGTTAAAATCAGAGTTCATGATTCAGCAATATGAAACAGAGGGACGATGAAAATGGCCTCCAAGGGAGCGTTTCAGCGCTAAAAGTACAGCTGATCAAAAACAAAACAAAGGTCTGTCTCACATTTACCTAAACGACCCATCAGGACCATCCTCAAGACTTCGGGGAAGGAATTGTGGACTTTTCTCCGGTTGCTCCGGTTTCCTCCCACAGACCAAACATGCTTGTTAGACTGATGGAGACTCTGAATTGACCCTAGGTGGATTGAGCATGTGAATGGTTGTTTGTCTCGTTTGTCTGACCCTGTGATGGACTGGAGACCTGTCCAGGGTGTATCTCCCCCCCCCCCCCTCCACAGTGACTGCTGGACCCCTAGTGACCCCCGCGACCTAGAAGGGTAGAAGCAGGTAAAGATAACGGATGGATGAGATATGTGGAACTTGTGGAAGATATGTGTCTCGTTATAGGTATAATGGTCAAACGTGGTGGTGGTAGTGTGATGGTCTGGGGTGCATTGCTGCTTTGTGACTGCAGTTGTTGCTACTAATGGTGATAGATGATGATACATGAATGCTCCTGCAAGCACCTTGCAGGTGTGCTAAAATTCATAACTGACTGTAACTATCATATACCCATCACTGCACCCTGTATTCACTGGTTAACTGGTCAGTAACTTCATGCAGACTCTCACACTGGTACATTTTCATCTTTAAATCACTTTTTCATCTTGAAGGTGCCTTCATACATCTCCTCCTATGTGCCACTGCGTGAGTGCAGCTACAGCGTGCGCTCCCAAGACATCATTACCTGCAGTGTCCCTTCAGTGCAGACTGAACTTGGCAAAAAGACCGTCTCTTACTCCGCTCCAGTTTCCTGGAACACCTTGTAAAAAGATCTGAAGTGGTCGACTTTGACCACTCCAAGGGATTTTAAACAACTGTTAAGTTCATTACAACAATCAACGCAGACATGTTCCCGTTTTTAGTACTTTACATCGTTTTATAATGGAGCTTGTTTTTGTTTCATGTGTATATAATTTATTTTTATTTATTGTTCATATTATGTGCTTTTTATATGATTGTCTATTGTTGTCTGTGTTCTTTGTTTAAATCAGGTCTCTCTTGTATATTAGTCCTCGAGGCTCAATGAGACTAAGCTGTAGAAATAAAGGTTGAATGAGTAGGAGCAGGTTGGTCGGGGCAGCGCTTCCCTTCATAAATGAAATCTTTTAAAACAGTTTCACATCGACTCAAATGATCTTTATTTGAAATGTGACAAAAATAAACAATCAGAAGAAATGTGTGCAAATAGTTTGTCGCAGCACAGGATCTTTAATGGATGTTACTGGTCTCAAAAAGGGGAGACATTTTACAAACACCTGACAAGTTGAGACGTTTGAACTATCTATTTTTTATTTCAGTGGATTGCCAAATTTTTAAAACGGCAAACAAAATTATTGAAATAATGTTTATATTGGCAAAATTAAAAGGTAATACATTGACATCCGAACCTTTGCAGACGTCTCTGACCAGTTTTTGCAGCATTTTATTGAAGTCATAATTGCTATGAACTTTCTGAAATCTTGAAAACTGTAATAACGGACTTCTGAACTGACCAGAAGGGACACCTTCCTGTCACCCGTCAGTGAATGTGAAACACTAAACCATCTAATCAGTCTTCGTCCAGCCTTTTGGACTAGAAATGTGTAAGTATTTTACAGCTATAGTCAGAACACGTGAAACTTTTCAGTATAATACAGTTGAACATTTTGCTAGAACTGTTTCAATGTTTATATTCCTGTATTACTTTCTTTAATAAAAAATAGAAATATTTAAACCTTTGTGGTATGTAAAAAAAACCATTTTGATAATTTAAAATCAGCACGGTCACTTGAAGCTCCTGCAGTTTCTGGCCAAAAAGTTTATTTTTTAATGACGACAAAGTCCCAGATGTGGACATTTTGACAATAAGCATTTTTCAAGTTTTACACCAATGTAGCAAAGTTACAGAAGACATGACTCTGGACCAAATTACTCTTCAGCTAAATGTAGAATTTAAAAAAAAACAAACAAATTATTTGCTCATTTAAGAGTCTAGCTTCAACCCCTAAATTCAGAGCAAAATTAACCCGTGTAGACAAAATGAAACAGTTATTACAGGAATGTATTTACAAGGATAGACTACTGTATTAAATTACATAAACTTCAGAACAAATCACCGAGCGAGTCACCTTTAGGACAGTAGAACAGCTGAGTCATGTTTAGCAATTACACACAACTTCAGAGTCCTGACCTGATCAGTTATGCGGGACTTTGACTAAAGCAACATAGTAAACCGTGACTCAGCGTTTGCTCAACAGGAGGATGAACTGATGACAAAACATCATTAGCCTCTACATTTGTCGTTACGCTACACCTTCTTCCAGGTATGTCCTGTTCAACTCATCAACATATAAAAAGTCAGATGATAACGTCCCGTCCTCTGACTCACTGTGTCCTCAAGCAGAACTCTGACGCAACCAGAACAGTGCAGCGTGAGCACGTTATTGAGAGATGTCGAGTTTCTACCAGGAATAAAAAGAAGGGGAGGCCACTTGTGTCATTCACGAGGGCAGAGCGGAGCTGGCAGCCACCTGTGAGCTGGCCACGACCAGCAGCTGTTCCTCTGCATGCAGGAGCGCCTGTTCCTGCCAGAGCGAGGGCTGGCTGCATGGCACGTGTGCTGGGGGGAGCTCGATGTGCATGTGTGCCTGGGCGTGGGTGGAGAGCTCTGCTGAAGGCTAAAGGCAGGCAACAGGAGGAACTGGGTCTCCTCTAAAATCACATTTGAACATAAAGACTGTGCAGCATTCAAAAAAGACAACAAAAAAAAAGTACAAGTTTAATTTTGTATTTTCTACACTTTCTTTGACAAATTTTCATTAAGAGGCAGCAACTTCTATGTGAGCTTTTTGAATTTAAAAGATTACATAAGACATTAGCAGCTTGCAGATGAGACGCTTTTAATCAGTCGTTAATGGTTGGGTTTGTTTTTAACTAGACTGAGTCACGAACAGCCGAGGCAGGATTCAGAGTCCAATAATAAAAACTGCAACACAAACGTAGCAATCAAAAAGTCTCATTTGTATTCTGACACGGAGGCATCGTACATGTTTTAGTTATGGTGACAGTCCGATCAAAACCAGTTTACATTAAATGACGCAGAGCCTTTAACAAAGACCAGAATCTATTAAAAATTATCAAATCCTTTACACAGTTTGTGTTCAAATAGTTAAACTGTTTTAAACGTGCAAATGAGCACCTCAAAGTCAAAAGATTTTTCTGAATATTACTGAAAATCAAAGTACATTAAAAAAAGAAAGCGCTACATAAAACAACTGAAATGCCCAGTATACTGTAACACTGCTGTCACACAATGTCAGGTCATTAAAAACAACCAACTGAGGTTTCTCAAGTTTACCTTTTTTTTGTTGTTGCTTTAAACAAACGTTTGGAATCTGTTACAGAGACGTCTCTTAATACATCAAGAAAAATAAGACACATATAAAGCAAGACTCAAACAAGATGATTAAAAAAACACAAGACGGACGCAAACATTAAAAGAGAGAATGAATCATTATAATAATCAAGCATCGTGACGCATCACAAGTACTGAGGTGGAGCCCAAATGAAGTGCTGAGCCGACGTGAGGCAGTAAATGTGACAGGGTCACGGTGCAGCAGCTTCTAAAGCTGCCCCCGTCTCCTCTGAGGTACCTCCATCTGCCGCAGCCTCCTCGGACACGTCGTCAGCCTCGTTCAGTCCAGCTGTGTAGACACCTGTGTCCTCTTGGGCTTTTTCATCAGACACGTCTGTTTGTGTGGCTGCTCCATCTATCAGCGTCACTTCAGTGGCTACGGTGTCTGCAGCAGCGTTGCTCTGAGAAACTACTTCTGACAAAACGCCGGCCGCTGCGTCCACATCAGGCGGATTTGTAGCTGTGCTGTCAGTGGCAATCTTGTCCACGTCCTCTTGCCCGGTCCTCTCCACGTAGAAGAGGATGTAGGCCTTGGCCTTCCTCACCGTGTCCTCAGTGGTTAGAGTCACTGTGCTGTCATTGAAGTGGTACCAGCGGCCCTCGTGGCTGCCGTATGCTGTATAATGCCCTGATCCAACCCTGTGAAGGCACACACATTTATCACGTTGTCCCTTCAGGCTTTTTACAAGAATTCATTTATTGCTGGTGAAAGAAGACGGGAACATTCAGCAGAGTGTCACTGCCACCTACAGGCCACAGCTAAAATATCAACATGTTGATTTCCAGCAGGAACTCTAACATTTTATTGTCATGTGACTCAACCTCAGCTGCTCACAAAGTTTTTGACCAAAAAAAAAAAACAAAAAAAAAAACGGAGCTGAAATGTTTAAACAGTAACAAAATGACTCAAACAAAATCAACAGCTGGCAGGCAGATGATAAAGTACAGATGTGTGATTAAGTGTCAACATGTACAGTGCTTTGCGAAAGTATTCAGCCTCCTTGAACTTTTCATCCTTTTGCCACATTTCAGGCTTCAAACATAAAGATATAAAATTTTAATTTTTTGTGAAGAATCAACAACAAGTGGGACACAATCATGAAGTGGAATGAAATTTATTGGATGTGTCAAACTTTTTTAACAAATAAAAAATGAAAAGTGGGGTATGTAATATTATTGGGCCCCCTTGTGTTAATACTTTGTAGCGCCGCCTTTTGCTGCAGTTCCAGCTGCAAGTCTCTTGGGGTTTGTCTCTGTCAGTGTTGAACATGGAGACTGAAATTCTTGCCCATTCTTCTTTGTAAAACAGCTCGAGCTCAGTGAGGTTGGATGGAGAGCGTTTGTGAACAGCAGTCTTCAGCTCTTTCCACAGATTCTCAATTGGATTCAGGTCTGGACTTTGACTTGGCCATTCCAACACCTGGATACGTTTATTTGTGAACCATTCCATTGTAGATGTGTCTTTATGTTTTGGATCATTGTCTTGTTGGAAGATAAATCTCCGTCCCAGTCTCAGGTCTCTTGCAGACTCAAACAGGTTTTCTTCCAGAATGGTCCTGTATTTGGCCCCATCCATTTTCCCATCAATTCTGACCATCTTCCCTGTCCCTGCTGATGAAAAACAGGCCCAAACCATGATGCTGCCACCACCATGTTTGACAGTGGGGATGGTGTGTTCAGGGTGATGAGCTGTGTTGCTTTTATGCCAAACATATCGTTTTACATTGTGGTCAAACAGTTTGATTTTGGTTTCATCTGACCAGAGCACCTTCTTCCACATGTTTGGTGTGTCTCCCAGGTGCTTGTGACAAACTTTAAACAACATTTTTTATGGATATCTTTGAGAAATGGCTTTCTTCTTGCCACTCTTCCATAAAGGCCAGATTTGTGCAGTGTACGACTGATTGTTGTCCTATGGACAGACTCTCCCACCTCAGCTGTAGATCTCTGCAGTTCATCCAGAGTGATCATGGGCCTCTTGGCTGCATCTCTGATCAGTTTTCTCCTTGTTCCAGATGAAAGTTTAGAGGGACGGCCGGGTCTTGGTAGATTTGCAGTGGTCTGATACTCCTTCCATTTCAATATGATTGCTTGCACAGTGCTCCTTGGGATGTTTAAGCTTGGGAAATCTTTTTGTATCCAAATCCAGCTTTAAACTTCTCCACAACAGTATCTTGGACCTGCCTGGTGTGTTCCTTGGTCTTCATGATGCTCTCTGCGCTTTGAACAGAACCCTGAGACTATCACAGAGCAGGTGCATTTATACGGAGACTTGATTACACACAGGTGGACTCTATTTATCATCATCAGTCATTTGGGACAACATTGGATCATTCATAGATCCTCACTGAACTTCTGGAGTGAGTTTGCTGCACTGAAAGTAAAGGGGCCGAATAATATTGCACGCCCCACTTTTCAGTTTTTTATTTGTCAAAAAAGTTTGACACATCCAATAAATTTCATTCCACTTCACGATTGTGTCCCACTTGTTGTTGATTCTTCACAAAAAATTAAAATTATATATCTTTATGTTTGAAGCCTGAAATGTGGCAAAAGGTTGAAAAGTTCAAGGGGGCCCAATACTTTTGCAAGGCACTGTATCTCTTAGATACACTAACTTTGGAAAAGCCTTCAAACAAGTCTAACATTATAAGTTACTGCAACATGAAAACAGTGACTGTCAAAAAATAAAAAAGGTTATAACTTAAGGAGTAAGCCAAATGCAGCTTTAAATATACCTTTTCTCTCTGTGCTGTAATAGTACACCTCTCAAGTAGTTACTTTTAAATTATAGCAACTTTGGCCAGTTTTTGTCATCAAAACCTGAGTAAATCATAGCGTCAAGCCTGAAAAATGAAAAACATCTACTCACCCCGACCCATGATGCACCACGACTGCCACAAGGTCGTACAGGCAGCTTCCTGGTAATGAGTTCTCCGGCTGAAAGCATTTAAAAGAGCAGGAGGTGAATTTCTTTCAAAAAGCTAAAATGCTCTTTTGATTGTATGCACACCACCAAGCTGCAGGATCCAAACTGAACATCTGCATGTGTGGACACACGATTCCCTTCACTTCTAGGCACAAAACCAAGTTCAACATAAAATAATGTGAGTCTTGTCTAGAAATGAATGCTGGGTCCACACTTGGCTGCAGTACATACCTGCCCAAAGACAGTCACCAAGCTGAACGGCTACAGCAGGAAAATGTTGCATTCACATAAAATCTTAAAGTCATTCAAATGAAAAACAAAGAAATTTAGACATTTTTGGTACAACGTGCAAATTTTAGGATTTAGGAAGTTTATTTGTGAAAAACATGCAATAAAGATAAAAAAATTAAAAAAATCAAATTAGGCTTGTTCTCTAAACAAAAAGGTCTAGATGAACTAACATTAAGCACAACTTTTCATAAATACTTATTGTGATGAAACAGTTTAGCACTAACTTGTGTTGAAGGTTCTCAACATTCAGACACTTCAGTTAACTGGTTTTAATCTATAATCGGGGCTCTTGTCTTGTTCCAGAAGATAATCACAAACAGGAGACAAGAAACAAGTCTGTTATTACCTGGGACAATAAACAACTGCTAAGTAATTACCGGTATCGAGCAAAAACATGAATCATCAGTTGTAACATCTTGTAAAGTCATGCTGGCAGGACACCCAGCATCAACCGGGTCAAAGAACGAATCAAACATTTGCTACAGATGGTTCAACAGCAACTGTTCACGGCAAATTAACAGTTTCCCTTTGCATGTAGAGAGAATCAAGGAATGTGTTCACAGTGAAAAGATGCTCATTTTGCTGAATTAGCTCATGGAAAGGTCAACTGTTTGAATAAATGGATAGTTACCGTATCGCCTGCCACCAAAGGCAGAGCGACAATGCTTTTGCTCGTCTCTGTGCGGTTGTTTGTAACATTAGATAAATGAACCACTGAACAGCTTAATGAAAACACGCAAAAAATAATCCTTGAACTACATCTGATCAACTTTTGGAGTCAACTAGATTCAAGATGGCCACCTCCACTAATCAATATTAGCCAACCCATAAGTGGCTCTAAGTCAGTGTTTGACGTGGCAGCAGCTGTGTCGTCAACACAAAGAGATAAACGGTGAAAGAGATCCAACGTGAAAGGCAGCAGGGATATGCTTTATTATCTTGTTCACATCTGTTTTGTGCACAACTTAAAATGCAGATGTTTAATCGATCATCATACTTTAATAAACATATAAACTGGTTAATTAGTGAGACTCTGATGTTAGTTAAGTGTTTTCTCTATAAAAGCTTTCCAACATTTTATTGCATTTTGAAGTTTTTCCTCTTATTATTGGCGTTATTTTCAAATAATTGCTTGAGCAAACTTTTCATTTTACTATTAATTTTAACACAAGTGGACAAAGACATAAACCAGTTTTATCTGTAAGGATATTAATTTTTCTCTGGTCCTGTTTGTGACACCATTCTGATTACCACCACACAGCAGCAGCTTATTACACCAACCTGAACTAAAGATTCGCACCATTCATGACAGAACAGCCATTCCTCTGAACTACTGCTGATTCACTCCATTTTTCATCAAGACAATTAAAATCTACTGTAAAATTCTGTGATCACTTCTGTTTCAAGCCATTTTCATTTTACACAAAGGAGCTATAAGAATTATTAGTAGTATAGTGCCACGTGAAGGATGTCTAATATTTTTTGTTTTCAATTTGGAGATGTTCAAGCCTAAGTTGTTTGTCTGTAGTTATTTTACGTTTTTTTAAATAAGAGGCAGATATTATAAGAACTATTTTCTTCTGTCCGCACCCTTTTCATTCAATGTTTTTTTTCTTTTTGATGAATTTGTTTCGTTGATGTATTTATTTAATTGAATTAATAAATAAATGAAAAATAAATAAATAAAGCTCACCTCAAGTAAGTAGCCCCTCATGTCCAGGTCCTTCAGTGGAAACTCCACATAAGTGTCCACCTTGTTTCTCAAAAAGGCAGTCCAGTGGAACCGTTTTAGATGCAAACACAGAACCTGCCATTAAAAACAAACAAACAAAAAAAAAAACATGTATTGTAAATAAAATATATCTTTCCAAGCTACAGGTTTCTTAGAATAAACTGTAAAAAAAAATGTGAAAATAATTAATAAAATGGAATATAAATGTCTTCTTCGTACTTTTGGCAGCTTCTGGATCCAGAACTTCTTAGTTGATTTCTGGCGTTTCTTACATTTATGGCAATAATACAGCTCAGTTTCATCAAGTTCTTCCAGGTCGGTGAAGCTACGCAAGCAGTCTAAAAGAAACAAAGAATCCTTGTTAATTTCATTGTTGTGCGTTTTAAATGTGATGTAAACGCATCCTAAAAAGTTCAACCAATTCTTTCCTTGGACATGAAGAAATTTACCTCGTAAAGTGCACGTTGGACCTGGCTCCTGGTCCTTACTTCTCCTTTGTCTGAACTGACTGGGAATGTCTAAAGACAGATCTGAGTCAAAAAGAAACGACGTTTAGTTTTACGTTTTACTCTGTATCAAACCAGTATGAATTTTATCATCACGAGCGACATGGAGTAAAAACTTTAATGCTTCTCCTTCAAAGTTCAGAAAAATTTGACTAAAAGAACAAAACAACCACCCAATTTTCTTTAACAATCTGTACAGTTTGCAGCTTTTCTTACCAAGAAATGGATCAAACTTGCGAGATTCTGTCCCACATATCAGGCAGTTGACTTCGTTCTGAAGTACACCACCAAAAATGGATGTGACAACACTGGCAGGACCATTTCTGTCAAATGATCAACAAGCACAAACTTGTGATAATCATTTAATGCACACTCATTAAAAACCTGAGAAGTTTAATCAATAAAAAAAAGAAAACAGTACAACACCAAATGTTTTAAATGAGTCATTTAAAGAAACATTTAGGCTGCTTCAAAACAAGTTATTTAAATAAGTTAAAATCAACGTTAAAAAAGCCCATTTGAATCAATATAGTTAGTGTTGACAACTAAAAGAATGAGCTACATGAGCAGAAGAATTAAAAAAATTAAGGTGTCTCAACCACAGCAACAATAACAAGTCAAAGGTAGATGAACTCACATGAAACACTTGCTCTCTGAGTTGGAGAGTCTGCCTCCATCCTGAGGGGGGACTGGGTGAGACGCCCCGTTGCGACTGTACTGGAGCTCCCTGTGGAGATGGTCTAGCAGGTAACGCATGAATTCATGGGCATCCTGCTGCTGATAGCCTCTGTGTAACACATGCAAAGCTTTTTGGAGCAGTACTGTAATGACGGCAGCTTTGAAAGAAAGAACTACTTAAAGTTCAGCATTAGCTGCTTGAAGCTGTCAGCAGACATGATCTACCTGAAACTTGGCATGATTTTCCATATGGTATAAAATAAGGAGTCTGGACTGAAGGCGGTCTGGTTTCCTTGCCACAGGGAGCAAAGAGTTTTCCTGAACTCCTCCACCAACGAGCTGTTCACCAGAAAGACAAGGCAGCACAGTCAACAACAATCAGCTTCTAAAATATGCCCCTGCCAGTTCAACACTGTAAACCTACTGTTTGTTTATTAAACAGAGACATTAGACCTAATTTATGAACCTCTCACCACATTTTTATTTTTTTAATAATGGATCAAAAATAAAACCGTTAGCTCTATACTTGCAGAAAAGAAATCCATATATATATATGCCCAGAAAATTCTCCTTCCTGCAGAAGAGGACCTTACACACTGTTGTCCCCTTGGCTGCGGGTGTGGTACATCCGTCTTCCTGCCGTCTTACCGCTGCGTAGAGCCACTGCAGGCAGCTCCTTAAAATAACAGCTGAACTGCTCGATGTTGCTGTCAAACAAACACATTTTGTGACGACATCAGTTATTGTGACACTCGACATCAAGCACCAGACAAGACTGTAGGGGGACGAACGTCTTTTTTTTTTTTTACATTCTAATAATAAGCTGCTGGGTCATTGGTTGACAATACAGAATTTAATTTGCAAATTGTCAAAATACAGAAACATGTTCATAAAAATAATTTTGAAAAACTATTTCTAGGGATACAAAGTTTGTTTTCTCAGTCATCCAGGTATATAACAACAAAAAAGGTTGAATCATGTCATCTGGACTTCGTTTTTTTTGTTAAAAAGAAACGTTTCGCCCCTCATCCAAGAGGCTTCGTCAGTCTGAGGCCTAGCCATCTGGTATTACCCAGAAGCCACCCTGACTCTTGTGTTTCAAGCCTGCCTCAGATACCCCTGAAGTCTGGCCTTTTCACTAATGGTTTCAAAAACACAAAGTTTGTTTTCTCAGTCATCCAGGTATATAACAACAAAAAAGG